TCCCACACTGAGCATGCAGACACTAACTAAAAGCCCAGACCTGTGCTTCACCGCTATTCGGTCGCTGCATGATACAGCTGCGAGGGATTCGGCTTTTCAGTGGGTAAAATTTAAAAACTGGGGTATGAACCAGAAAGTACACAATGAATGCTAGCGGATCCACAGATGAGCTAAAGCTTTGCACTTTCTACTTACTTTCATCTTCCTCCTACCACTGCTCCTCTTTAAGCCTCGGGCGATGCACCACTTGGGTTTGGGTACGAGAAGCCGGACGGTTTCATGCGGCCTTAAAACTCTTATGGAGGAATATGTCTTCTTTCGACATGCGTCTTCTAAACACTTTACTTACGGTAACAGTGCTGAAAATCCGATTTCCAGGTGGTAAATTAGAAGGAGGGCGTTCACCGGGAGAGGTTTACTGTAACAGTGACGTTTGGGGTAGTTGTCTCGTCTACCCATCTTCAGAGAATGAACACTCTGGCTCATGGTCCTCGTCTTTATGTCGCTCTTTCTTCCGTGCGCGTGTTTCCTGAAGATGGGTAGACGAAAAAATCTAGCCGAAACGTCAGACATACAATAAACCTCTCCCGGTGAACGCCCTCCTTCCTACTGACTTTATTTATCCTTCAAAGTGGTCAGAGACACAGTAGTTTTCTTTAGCCTTATACCAAGTCTTGCAATTACATTGACCTGCAGTTTAAAATAAGTCAGTAATGGAACAAGAATTTCCACATGTGCTTGGATTTTAAACGTCGTCTCATGATCGTGCGATTTTGTCAAATGAACTACAGTTAATCGGTTTTTATCAAATACTTTCATGACAAAACTGGTTTCCTTTAAATACTGACAGCCGAGGAAGGTATACCACAGGTAAGCAAATAATGGCATTATGATCTCTACTTGCGTGTGGGGTTACAGCACTCGTTAATCCCGAAGACGGACACGTGGGAGTGCAGGGATAACCAACAGTCCAATCTTCACGCACGACGATGTCCTCCACTATAAACCTCGTGGCGGGGTCGGTCTAGGACGGCGTCTGAATG